GATGAAGAGAATCAAATCCATTCAAGCCAGAAATAGTATTAAAATATTCACCAAAAAACAAAATGAATGGAGATGTTAGGAAATTCTTTTGAGTGAAAATAGTGTTTAATATTTCTTTTGCAGGTATACATGTATACGTAAACAGAATGTTATTTCTTCCTAGTGTATCACATTAATTCACTACAAAAACATTACTTTGCACAACGTAGTCTGTGTTAAAATTGTTCGTATTTACATTTTACAGAAGTCAGACATTAATAAATAGTTTGGTTGTCACATACATTTTTTTCCACTTTGTAGTTCAGTATCAGGTGAAACAACTGTGGAAAAATGGCCGTGTGTAGTGAGGTGATTAATCACAAAATTGAAGGCTGTCTGTGGCATACATGTAGCTTGTTTGTAGGTACTATTGCATAAAGCACAAAGACCTACAGAAAGGTGATTGGCTTACTGTATACTCCAACCCATCTTGGGCCTATCAATAGTTCCCCCAAAAATTTAATTTAAGTATTAGTGATGAAAAATAGTTCTGAAGGTGTGGTGGTTTGTAAATAATAAAATCCTGTTAGTATTCAATAAAAAGTATCTTCAAAGTTGTCTAAATAATGAATACAACATTATATATTGACTGTGGTGCTTTACTTTATCCAAGTAGTCATTATTATTGTAGATTTTGCTAGGCACTATGTCTGAGAAGGATTTTAATTTAAAATTGACAACCCGATCTAATAATTTATATTTTGCAAATAGCTGCGTTGTATTTGCACTAGTTAGAAGTATCTGCGCTTACATAAATATCCTTTTAAAACAAGCTAGCATAAACAGATCGATATAAGTTTTGCACAAATCTCACCCAAACTCATTTGTTAGTTCAGGCATACTGTACTTGTACTATATTTACTCTATTAGTTATACATATGGCATGGTCAAAAACATTTTTTTTTAACCAAATTCAGTATAATAAATACATTATTTGGTTTATGTGGTCTAAAATTAACATTAAGAAATTAAATTAATGTTTACTAAATTCAGGATAATAAATACAATATTTGATTTATGTGGTCTAAAATTTATATATAGAAATTAAAGAAAAGTTATACCAACATTTTGGCATTGAAATTGGTATTTTTTTAAAAACCATGTTGAACAATTATATATTCAGACTCTATAAGGCCCTGAAGAAAGAAAATAACATTTCTGGATTTGTTTTCAAAAGTCTTTGCAATTTCACTGGTGTCCTTTCATTACCAGTTCTCAGTTTTCATCACAAATTCACAAAATCCTACACTTTCCTTTAGAAAATTGGGACAAAATACCCAATTTTTTTGAGTAAAAAGTTGTTTGTTGGCTCCAAAATTAAGGCTCATTTCCAGAAATATTGAAGAATATAAAAAAAAAGTGCATAAAAACTTTGGGGAGGAAGTCTGGTGGTGAAAAGGTTAACCCACCGGATTTTGTTCGTCTTCTCTTTTTAAAATTGTTGATCAAGCCCTCCTACTGTTTTAATTTTAACGCTATCGTGAAATTTTCGATATATGATAATTTGACAGTATTCATGAGAACAACATTTTGCAAAAGTCCCCGTGATATGCTGTCTTGAAGATCCAAACTGAAAAATTTAGCATTTGCACTGTCGCAGGAAAATCATGATCTATAAACCTCTTGTGAAATTTAATCAAATACAGTTCTGTATTTGCTCTATTAGTAGTGCATGTGCATACGTAAATGATCAAGGTATATGTGTGGTCAAAATAAGTAATTTTTTATTGATTCAGCATACAGTAAAATTTGGGTTTATGTTCTTCAATTAAAGGTGCACTTCTGATGGAGCAAATATGGTATGTCCATTTGGTCTAAAATAAGTCAGCAATTCTAAACATAGAAATGGCAAAATATTCCAGAAAAAAATATGGCGTTGAAAAAATTAAGACAGAATGTCTCAGTGGCTTTCAGTGAATCTGTCAAATCTCAAACATTATTCATTCATCAGTGAATGTCTTTATTTTCTTCAGTGTAACCTAATAAACTAGGTGTGTTTCTGAAAGAATTCTGTGGTTTGTTACAAATGCTTTGAACAGATGCTTAGAAAACACTTCTCTGTTAGGGATGTACCATAAGAAAGTTTTAAGGGGGGCAAGTTTAAAACAACAAATCTGAACAGGAAAAAATTCTACAAAAATATTATATTTACACCAACAAAATTCAGCAACTTCATCATAGCAAACATTTTCATTTGTAGCTCAAACTAATTTGCATCTTCCCTCCCTCCCTTAGTTTGTAATGATCAAACCCTTATTGAGAAAAAATTTGATACATGTTGCATACTCTCAATGCAAATAAGGAATTCATTATATTTGTTTATATCTGATTTTATTTCTCTATATCATGATACCATGATGAATGTACATCAAAATAAACTAATCCCATTCCAGATTACTCTGTACATTTGATGGAATATCTTCTCGATAGTTGTGGGTTAAAAGTTCCAAATGTGTTGTAATACTTAAGTTACTTACATATAAACTGTACATATACATCTTCAATTAATTGTTTATGTTCAATCAATATTTATTCAAATCTGATGTAGGTAGACTAGCTGTTCCAATTCTATTCAAGTTATTGTTGGTGTGTATGCCTCTAAGGGGTTCACCATTAGAAACTCTGAGGGATAAAGATGGTACTGTACATGCAGAACTACTTTGCAAATTATTTTTTATTTTGTTCAGGATGATGTTGCCTTTCCCCATCAAGTGTGCGGGATTTTTTTTTAAATAAATGTATATATCAAGTCTGAGTTTTCACTGTGCAGTTTCATTTTTGATTCACTCCCTTAAGTTTCTAATGGTCAACCCTTAACTACATTTGACCAACTTCATAAATGTAAATAAATCAGGATCAGCTATCAATTGCTAAAGTGACATAAATAAAAGTGTATTCTCACAATGAAATTGTTGGCACTTTAGCTAAATTGAGATTCTGTTACCGGTAATTCATGCATGGAGTCAAATTCACTATAATGGCATGTAGCTATTTAAACATGTTTTACAATAGTTTACAGTGACATAGCCTGCTTTAGTAAGGTGCGCTCCAATTGGTCAACAACAACATCGCCTGTTCTAAATAATGTGTGCTCTACCTGTCAGAAGAGAGCTGCTTAAATGTAGTTTTGCACAGTTTGCATTGGCTGACAACAATAAAATGTCAGTAATAAAATACAATGCATATAATACTGATGTCAGTTTTGTTTTGTGATCTGATTCAAGATGGTTGAATAGCAGCCGTTTTAGAGCCAAAAATACATCAAAATTCCATTTTTTCACAATTCCTGAACCAGCTTTTGTTTGTGCATGGATGGATTCTGTTCAAACTTGGTACATACATGTATGTTGAACATAATGGATCCTTGATAGGTGTTATTTTATTTTTCAGATTGGGTTCAATATTGCTGACGTTATATTGGGCATATGCTTATGATTGTTTTATGATTCGATTCAAAATAGCCAAATGCAGCCATTTTAAGACGAAAAATACATCAAAATGACACATTTTGACCATTCCAGAATAAACTTTGTACATATGTTAAACACAATGGGAACTTGATGCACGTCATTGTATTTTTTGGATTTGGTTTAAAATGGACGACTGGCGGCCATTTCGAACAAACATTTTTTTTTTTGTCACTGTCAAATCTAAAAGGGCTGATTGGCAGCCATCGTTTATAAACAAATGTGGATCCACAGAACCATATTTCATACATGCCTGGTCATAATATATCTAGTCATAATGTCATCTGCAAGGCATCTCCTGCACTGCCAAGGCTCATTGGTCAATTTGATTTGATTGGTTGATTGAAATTGCCCTATCATGGAGCAGCATCAATCTGAAGATTTATTTTCCTGAAAATTTGCTTGCATTGTGTTTTATGGGCAACCTATTTGCTCTATCAGTTCACATATGTTTATGTAAATTACAGTGTGTGTCTATGCTTTAGTGATCCCAACATACAATAAATGCAATTTTTGGTTTATGTGCACTTTTATTAGAGATTCGCTTTTAATAGAACAAATAAAACAATCCCAGATATTGTACATTATCTGTTTTTGATACTCACATATCTGATACACACCCATTATCATAGTACATACCTGTACTATGTACTCTACAATTTGTACTTTATTTTGCTTGGGAATTATTTTCACTGAAAATTCCCCCCACTGGTTTATTCTAAATCACCAAAAATGAAGAGGCATTATGCATGACCCATTAAGGTCACACATCCTGGTTCTTTCTGGGGTACTTATTTACAACAAATCTCCAAAAACATGCTGGATGTGTGATCATGCATGAAGTGTATTCACACACAATTTAGGACAACTGAATTTGCTATTTTCACCAAATTTTTAATTTCCAGCTAAAATAAAGTGATTCACAGTTTATTGCTTTTACTTTTACACCAGTTTAATTCATGGTTTGGAATAGGAACATCTGGGGTATTTTGTAGTTGAGTCTGGTATGCATTGACCATTGCCACTTGTATCAACCATGTGCTAAAATGTATGCAGAGAATTCGTTTTCAAGATGGCGCTGCTCGCAAAAGTTCGGCTGGATTTTATTAACCTTTAGGGATTCAATGTCATAGCAAGAGTAAGGGTGTTTGTGCCTCTGTACAAGGAGAATATTTGCTCTCTTAGTCTTAATAAATACCCATATTCAGTCAGTTATATATAAAATTGTATTATTTTACAGTATTTTATTCTGCTTTAGTTATGCAAAATACAAATTTTTTGCAAATTTCACAAGAAAGTGAAAATCATGACATTTTGTTGTAGTGAATATATTTGTGGGGTGTTACAACATCGACTTTCATAAAGTTCCCAGCAGTGAAAATTAAACGTTTTGGATTTCTGTTTTTATTTCAGAATCACTTTAAGACCATGTTTGTTGGTTAGGAGAAAAATTCAGAAAGACGGAATAGTGAGAAAATATTAACAGTTAGTAGCATGGCTCACTTGTCAGGACATGACCTAGTGTTGTCTGACTTTGTAAGACATACTAGTGCTGATCCGGGGCTGGCAAGGGATTTATTAGAAGGTAAGACTACATATGTTAACATATGATGAACAAATGTGTTGTTGACATCACTACTGCATTGTGGGAAATTATTCATTGAAAGATAAGCATGTACATTTACATTGTACTTGTTAAAGTAGCATAGTCATCTAACAGTACACGTTTAATATAGTGTTTGTCACGTTTACAAGATCTTACTTAAAACAGAACTAACGTACCCACAATCATAGTACAATGTACATAGTACAGTGTGCAAAAGAGATATGGGCAATGTGTGCAGAAAATAAAAATAGTTTAATGGATTTCTTGTCATTCCCAAGGAAGTTTATTGCCAGAACAAAGCCCTTGAGAAAATATTTCAGTGGCACAACTGTTATTATTAGTAATACGTCTGTCGCTACATGTATTTCAGTTTTTGTTTTTACTTATTTGTTTGTCCAATCAGAGGTCTTCATGAATAATTAATCATATGACATAATGTTCTGTGATATCATTTGAAACAAATTCTATTTCATTCAAATAATGAAGCGATGTTTTGTTGTGCCAAGAAATACCGGTTTCCCCCGTGATCATGCCGAGTTTAATAAGGTGCGTCGTATCTAACTAATTGCACCAAGCTCAACCTTGGGCTCGCTGTTTTGAGGTTGATCTCTTCAAAAACCTGTCTTGCAATGGGACCAATATTGAATCCTTTAAATGATGAACTAAACTTTTGTTGCCGTTTACAACATAAGCAGCATAACCTTAATATTCTTATTTTTTGAGCCAACACCATCAAGACCAATTTTGTGCTTTTTATCAAAAATTAATTAACCAACAAATGTGCAAAATTTTGCACCAAAACTTAGTGTTTGTATAGTTAAAAGAGTGCATGTATCTCTGAACTACAATGTGATTAAACCAACCTTTGTGGTACTAATTGAATACACAAGTGGTGATGTACAGGTTATTTCTTAAATAAAATTCACTTCCCAATATTTGCATATCATTAGCATATTAATACATGGGACCTGGTATATTATTATCAGGACCCACATGTTTTCGCCAATGGCGTAGCCATGTTTCGTCCATGGTAAGCCAGTGGCATGCCAGTGGTAAGGTCATTGAAGGGCTCGCCCTCAAATAGCGAGCCCAATGTCGAGCTCGGTGTGATCAGTTAGATATGGTGCACCTTATTAAACGATTTTTGACATTTTTGTGACAACCCGATTTCTAAATACGTGAGTAATTTTGCC